CTTCCACATGATCCAGCAATCCAGCTACTGGATCCAAAGGAGATGAAATCAGTATGGAGAAGAGACATCTACACTCCCACGTTTACTGCAGCACTGTTCACAGAAGCGAGGAAATGGAACCCATCCAAGTTGTCCATCAACTGATGAATGGGTAAAGAAAACGTGGCATATACACTCTGTCTTACTTCATTCTCCTCCAGAAGTTTCACAGGACAAACTTCAGGCTGAACTGAAGGCACAGACTCGGGGCATACCTTTGTGCTACACTGCCTCCGACTACAGGTCCCCTGACACCACACGATGGCAAGCAGTTCTTGAAACCCATCACAGGGTGCACTACGGGCTGAATCATGTCCTCCAAAGTTCATGTGTTGCCATCCTAGCCTCAGTGACTCACCATGAGACTGTATGTGAAGAGACAGTTTCTATAGAGATGAATAAGCTAAAATGGAGGTCATCAGGGTGGGCCTTGATCTAATGTGACTAGTGTCATAAGAAGAGGAGACAAGTCACAGACAGATCCAGAGGGAAGACCATGTGAAGACATCGGCTAGCCAAGGAGAGGCCTCAGAAGAGATCGACCATGCCAACATTGGATCTTGAACTTTTAGCCCCCAAACTGTGAGCACATGAATTTCCAATGTTTATACTCTGCAGTCTGTGGTGATCTGTTATGATAGTCCTGGCAGATGAATGTAGCTACTCCTAGGAAGATTAAGGTAAAGGAGATGGTCCAAGGTGGCAAAAGGAATAGAAATGCTGTACTGATAATTTAGGAGGAGGAAAGGGAGAAGAAACAATAGGAGACAAGACAGGACTGGGCATTTTGGGAGCTGGTAACATGACAGTCATTTGGGATCTAGGTAGGTCCAAGTCTTAGTTTGTTAGGTAAAAAGTTCATTCATGGACATAGATCATCGAAAGAAAATAATACTTAACCAAATGCAGAAAGACAACAGACTGTCATTTGGGGCCTCTTTCTTTTGAATACCAAGAAGAAGGGAAAATACTTTGGTATTAGGCCTTTTCCTTGACTCTTTTAAATGACATCTGTGATATCAACTCAGTGAAAGCTATTCAGAATCTGGCACTTTTAATTCATGTGAGAATGTCAATTCTACTGAGTGAAGAGGATGTTAGGGTTACATTTAACATAAAGTACAAACACTGCATGGGAGTGGGTTGGGGTAAGAATGCCAACTGTATATAAAATTAACCACCACCTTCTTGACTCATTTGTCTTGGCATCCACAGAAAATTTTCCAGCTTTCTCCTACGAGAGTGTCAACTTTTGGTAACAGTTATTCATAAATGGCGTGGTTCAACAGTGAGTCAGAGTGACTAAAATACTCTGGATGTATTTACTTTACTTACTTTTTGGTCAAAAAATAACAATTCATTTAATTATCTGTTGGTAATATTTTTAAGAGTCCTGTTTACCACTTGGTGTCTTCTCAATGTGCTTCTCATGTTGTTGCTGCACCCAGGAGCTGAGTACATGAGATTCGCTTCCTGGGGGCCCAAGTCTTAAAAATCAGTGAAAAGCAGATGGCTTTATTAAGCAGGCAGTCAGCGACTGTATTACAAAGTGGATCTCAGTCCCATAACCAAGCAATGGGATCAATAAGGCAAGACCTCACTGAATCTTCCATCTAGGGAATTCCAGAATAACCTCTTTTAGTATACCAGGTGCACTTATTGAAGCTGTGATTTAAATGATGGGAGACTAAGAGAATGGAGCTTATTTGCACTTGTTTGTGGTGCTGGGGGTGGAACCCAGGGCCTTGTGCACACTAGGCAAGTGCACTACCACTGAGCTACACCCTCAGCCCTAAGAATGGAACCTTTAATAAATAAAACTAAGCCATAAAAATCTTAGCATTTTAATGTAACCTCTTTTACTTTTTAAAACTGAAGACCAACAATGACAGAGAAACTTATCTCTGGTTTAAATTTTAGTGCTAAACATGAGACAAAAGTTTAAGGACAATGAAGTTGGGATTAAATATGTATCACTTTAAATTAGCCGTGCTGGTTGTTATAGTCATAAACCATTAACCTGTGCTCTTTCATAATTTTAACTAACATTGTTTCTTTTATATTAGGTTTAATTAGTAGTAGAGGGGGAGTTTTTTGAGTCAATCAGGGATAGTATGGAACTCTACCATGCTTCTAATTGGGGAATTAATATTCAAAATAATAAAACAAAAATACAGTCATCTACTAGTGCAGGGTACTCCCTGTTATTTTTGTCTACATTTACTAATTTGGTGTAGAGAAATGTTTCTAATTTGGGCAATCTGAATCTAATTTTTTAATATATTAGGGAAAAATGCCTGACAGACCAGCAAGATGGCACTTGCATGCATGGCTGGTCTCATGGACATGCATAAGAGGACAATACATCTTCACCTTCATCAGATGTGACCAGGCAGAGAAACCCTAAATCCTTGTTAATTAATGTATTATCATTCCCAAAGTACAGGTATCACTTGGGTAGAAAAAACATTCTTCAATTCCTTTAAGTTTTAAATCTATTATTTGTATCTTTCTTTAAAAACAGTCCTTATTTAAACTGGGCATGGTGGCACATGCCTGTAATCCCAGTAGCTTGGGAGGCTGAGGCAGGAGGATCACAAGTTTAAGGCCAGTCTCAGCAACTTAGTGAGACCCTGTCTCAAAGTAAAAAATAAAAAGGGCTGGGGTTGTGGCTCAGTGGTTAAGCACTGGAGTTCAACCCCTGTTACCAAAAACAAACAAACAAACAAAAACTATCCTTATTTGGATGACTTTAGAAAGTCTGAGGCTCAAAATGAAAAATTTTATACATTAGGTTTATTTAAAAATATCTGACTTGAACTTATAATACTGGTATAAATATTCAGTGATATTTTGTTATATAGTCACTAAGGAGTTAAGGTAATTTCTACAATCTATTTATTTGATTTGCATTAGTGTACCATTAAATATTATCAGAATTTTACCACTAGGACATTCTAGGAATTTATCACTCAGATACAATGAGAAATTTCGCTTTTAAAGAAAATTTTTATTTTTGTTCAATTCCTAGTCAGTAGACATTCCTTCATTATTTCAATAATTAGTCCTAAGGACTCTTAAAATAAAAAGGCAAAGGGAAAAAAAGCAATTTAGACAGTTTCCTGGATTTTTAGTATAGGTAAGTAGGTCTCCCAAGAAATTTTTATTAATACATGAATAAAATATGTTTTTGTTTTATTGACTCTAATTTTTTTAAAAAAATAGTTTCTTATACTGACTCTGAATATAAATATCCTTCTTTCTATTTTCACTGGTTAGCAAACATAAAATAGAGAACAAAATAAAGATCATTTGAGAAAAATTATGCCATGAATTAAAACAGGAGAAAGCCACATTACATTACCCTTCAGCCTTCAAAAGACAAGTCTACTACTTTTCTAAGCACATTCAGTTAGTTGCCTAAGTAATGGCATATCCTCCTAAGTCACAGCTGATTAGACTTTAAACAGAAACAAATCTCTGGATGTTTAATGGGACATTTGGAAGACACACATACTTGCATGGGGCGGGGGAGGGAATTTTATAAAGTTTATAATTTTATAAAGTTTTATCCTGTGCCTAGACACCTATATAAGACCAATGAACTATTTATTTACACTTCAGTGCTGTAAGGCATGTATTATTGCAAAAGAGTGAATTAAATTTAGCCCTATTATTTGTGTAGTAACTGAATCAAACAATGCATAGAAATTTGCTTTGCTACTTATTACTATCTTGCTGGAGGGAGATATTGTAAATAATGGGTTTGAGGGGCTGGGGTTGTGGCTCAGTGGTAGAGCGCTCGCCTCACACATGTGACACTCTGGGCTTGATCCTCAGCACCACATATAAACAAACAAACAAACAAACAAATAAATAAAGGAAGATATTGTGTCAACCACAACTAAAATAAATAAATAAATAAATATAATGGGTTTGAAATGCAGATGAAGACTTAGATTTGTTTCCTTAGTGAATCCCCTAAAAACGGAATCATATTGATATTTTCAGGTGAATAAAAGTAAATTATGTGTGGACATAAGTACTATCCATACTCCTACTACTAATAAATCAATCACAGCAAGAAATAGCAACTTTCACTTATTGTCCATTTGCCATAGGCCAGACCCCAGGCTTTAGCTTTGTGGAAGATACTACAGACACTAAGATTGGATCTCTCTTCCTCTCCATCATCCTTGTATTTGGTGGCTACAAAGCAACAAACTATATTTTCCAGACTTCCCTTACAGCTAGGGCTCATGCTACAAATTAGACTCCACCAACATGCACTGTGTGAAATCTGGAAGAGAAAGGCCCAAGGCCATCTATCTTTGGCCATGAATGTTGGCAAGCAAGCCCGGAGATGATGGATGTCTGCACTGGAAGATGCAGCTGTCCAGGCCTCTATACCACTTTCAAGGCTGTGAGAGGCAGTTATACCAGCAGTCGTAGCTGAGGTGAAAGCAAGAATAACTGCAGAGCTCTGCATCACAGTTATAGCAATGTGAGGGTGAATTCAATGTTCCTGAAGCAGTCTGGCCCTTTCACTGACTTTCCTTGTATTAAATTCTTTCTTAAATAGTTAAGAGTGATTTCTTTCTTCTGCACTGAACTCTGATGATAGAGTCCTCCATATATGTTGCCTTATTTAATTCTTACTGTGTAATGTAATTACTTCAATTCTGTTAAGTTGGGAAAATGAGTCTAAGAAAGGTAATTTTCCTTAAGTCACAAAGTTGGTGGTAGAGACTCTGGGAATTGAACACAGGTAACCAGACTCTCAAGCATATGCCCAGAATTGCTATACTTCTGGACTTCCCCCTCACTTTAGTTTCTAATGGATGCTATAGGAAGCCAATCTGGCACAGTGAGATCCAAACTCAACTTTAAACTTTTACCTTTGGGCTCAAGTTCAAACCAAGTAAAAGTAATTAAAAGCTCAGTTAACTTCCTGTACTCATCACTTCTGCATGTTACAAACTTTGGAGCAACCTAGAAATGCTAGTCTTGCAATTATTTCAACTTATCCAGGAAAAGGTAAGAAGTTTTATTCTGGGAATTGGTTTCTCAGTTTTTAAGCTTCAAATTTTAGAAAAAATGATGCTTAATAGAGCAATAATTTATTAGTCATCAAAAAATGTATTTGTTTATATAAAAAAGGGAAAAAACTCTTGGAACTCTGATAATGATCAATCACACTGATTACAAAGGGTATAGCATGTGGCATAGTAGAAAAACCCAAGATTACTGGTTGATTTCGTATACCCAGCCACATGATCATAGGTGACCCATTTTTCTACTTTGGGTCATGTTCTACTCATTGATAGAAACACGGGGGTTGAATTAGGATTTCAGTTATTCAAAACCTAGAATCAAGAAATGTTAGTGCAAAAACAGGGATTACAGCAGAGCTTCTCCACCTCTGTTACCTCCTGGCACACCTACAAAATGCTAATTCACATCTGGCATGCTGGGGCCACACAGGGAGCAGTTCAGGGTTGAAGCTGCTGCCCCAGGTCTCAGGGTTAAGTTCTCAGCTCCTTTGTGGGGAAGCCTGAGAACTACAAGTTCTGCCTCATCATCTTCCACATGAGACGCTAAAGCACAGACACAATTTATACACTTATACCAAGCTCTAAATTAAAAGGCATGATGTCTGTATTTTCAGTTGCTACACTAATATGTTATTTAAAAATCCTTCCCGACTTGACCCTTTTTGGTCCATTTCCACACATTAGCCAGTCATATCTCTTAGAAAATACAAACCTGACCATGTCACCACCCATTCTCCCACTGATGGCCTAGCCTCCATCTCTCAGGGTCACCCCACTCTGTCCTCCCCACTGCCCTGTGCTCCTTGCTTCCCTTCCTAAAGGAAACATTTCCCTCAATCAGTTTTAGAAGCCGCCATTCTCTCTGCTGGAGAGCTTTTATCTCCTTTCCCAGCTGACACTCATTTCTCCAGGTCTCAGTCCAAGTGTCACTTGCTCAGGAAACTCTCCCTCATGCCCCAGCTACACCAGGTTCCCTATCACGTTGTTCCTAAGATCTCTTACTACAAGGCACTTCTCAGACTCATTCCTTTTGGTGATAATCTGATGAAGGTCTGCTTTCTTCATTGGAATATGAACTCTGGACACGGGTATGTCTCTTATTCACCAGTCTCCTCAGAGCCTACACAGTGTCTGGTTTTAAGTGTTCAGTGAATGAATTTATGGTTTTGATTTGGCCAAAGAATTCTTCCTAGAACTTTAATTTGTTGAACAGATATATGTGTATCAAATTTCTTATAACATAAATATATTGAATATATTGAATAAGGCTTTACTTCATTCTAACTAGTGGACAATATGGTATTTACTTTTGCAGTGCTGGGAATTGAACCCAGGGCCTGGTGTGTGTGAGGCAAACACGTTACCTCCTAGTCACATCCCCAGCCCAGGGGCTTTCCAGCACACATATCATTCCCTCTGCCTGGAACATCACTTTCCTTTTTCTTGTTTTAAAAATGTGTCCTAAATTATGTGCAGCAGATCTCCTATCTTCCTGGAGCCTCATCTGATTCTCACGCTAGGAAATGAGGTATTTATACAGGTTCCAAGGTTCTGGTGATACCTGGTGAGGATCAGCCTTCTACTACCTACTCCCTGATGTGAAAATTACCAATTTCAATAACAATCTTTCCTAGAGACCACTAAGTTCTTTTAGAGTAGGGACTGTGTGTTATTCACCCCTAGTGTCTCAAATAGTGACTGGTACAAACAGGCCTTCAATAAATACATGTTAACCTAAGAAGGACCAAAATGAACAGTGCGAGGAGAGCCAAGGGAATGTACAGATAACATCCCCCAACTTGTAGAAGACAAACTGGCATATGAGAGAGTAAACTTAATACTTGTATTAAGTGTCAACAAAGGCTGTCAACACAGAAAAAACAATAAAGTTATTTAGCCCCTAACAAAAGGGATAAAAATATATTAGTCCAAGTTTTCAATATCACCATGGGTTTCTGTGAACAGTAGAGCAATAGATTCTTTATTAAAATAATTTGAAGGCAGTACTCAGAAAATCTACAATGACAATGACCTTATAGAAGCTATGTTGTGTGCTACTGAGGTACATTTTATAGTTCTCTTTGCCTTGTGCCTAGTAAACAGCAGATCTTAGCTTTCAGATGGTGATTATACAGTAACCAGAAAGTTAATATGTAACAAGGAAAGGGGAGAACTTTGTACAGAAAATTATGTACATTGATATTTCAAGCAAAAAAAAATTATTATTATTTTTTTGTTTGTTTTAAACCAGCATGACTGTGATTCCTTTACCCAGCATAAGCTACTTGCAACTCCAAGGTTGAAACCAAAAGGGACCAGTACTGATCATTAGAAGGGTTACCATTCGTTACATAACCGACTACGAGCTGAGGCTTTTACAGCGTGCCTGGTGAGAACCCAATGAGAATCCTGTTTCCGCGGACTCTGGCACTTCCTCCCTCAGGCCAGATTCATCTGCTGTCCTTAGTGATGGCACAGAAAAGCAGGTGATCAGCAGCTTCCCTGGAAGAACACTTCTTCAAAGCACCCACTAAGAGCCCACATACAGCCTCATTCTAGCCCCAACTCCCACTAGGACCTGCAGAGATGAGAAATATCACTGAAGGAGTAGACAGTTCTGTATAGAAGATGACAGAGGCAGTAAAACAGATTGAAAGCCACCAAACAAGAATGTCTCCCATGTTGTTGACCTGTATTGAAAAGCAAAACCATAGAATTATATAGGAGAATTGAATTTTTTAAACTCCTGGAAAGGATCCAACACAATCATGAGTACATAGTACATAAGAGATAGGAGAGAAAATGTGGTGAAATATGAGGGTATTGTAGCCCTGGGGGAACAAGAAAGAGCAAAGTGGAGAGATACAGTATTCAATATTGTTAGGTCGGGGGACAGTACACTTCACATTTGTCTCAAGTCAGTTTGTGGCTTTTCAAAGAATCAGCCATAATCTCCGAGGCTGACTTCTGAGCCTCTGTCCACACTGTGGGAGGCAGTGTGGATGCTGCTTGACCTGTGGTAATTCACATAGGCATCCGTATACACTAAGAAGAAAAGAATGTGCTCATCAGTGACTATAGATGACTTACCAAGAGAGCAAAGTCCTTTGGAGGATGACATAATTATGCAACAAAATGGAGTGGCATGCCCAGGAGACAATAGGATGCGCATGTTGCTTGATGACCAGTAGCCTCTTCCCAGGAGCTAAACCATGGGAGCACCATCAAACCCAAGAAATAAAATCTTTAAGTATATTTCAAAAGTTTCCAACAATCAAAGCCAATAACTGTCACTCCATGTAAAACAGAGACACAGACATTGGCTCTCGCCTGCCTGCTCCATTCCTCCCTTCCTTCCATCTGTCAATAATCAATCAGGTCACTGATAATAAGGTGCTTTGCTAATACCTCGGGACAGAAGCATAAGACATGATCCCTATTCTCCAGAGGATCATACTGAAGGGAGAACAACACAGAAACAAGAAATGATTTTCCAAGATACCAAATGCTTTAACAGATGCATGTACAGGCACAGGGACAAAGAGGTGCAAAAGCACTCTGTTTGTGTTGATCATGACACGCTGCCACTGAAATGGCAAATGGGAACATGCTGTCATGCAACAAACACTGACTGCACCCCCATGACAGGTGAGCACAATGACACAGAAGAATCCTTCATGATTCCGGGGGGGGGGGTCCCCAACCTCTACTTATGCCCTGGAGAGTTCAAAGACTGTAGTGGTCCATCACTGAGGAAATACTGAGGGATAACTGATTTTGTATTTTTCATTTAAAACAGATGAGTTAGTGAACAAAAATATTAATAAGAATAAAACAGAAGTAAATATCCAATCATCCTAGTTATATTTGAGGGAGGCCAAATATTCTGGTTGCATATCCTGTAATACCTTCCCCTGACTTAACTTCTCTACTCTACACCCCATTCTGTCATGAACTCGAGAGACTGTACTTGGAGGGCAGTGAGATGACAATGCATGTTCTGGGCCAGGCTGCCTGGGTTCAAGTCTCTTCTGCTAGCTTCCCACTGAATGACTTTGGACAGTTGCTTCACATTTCTGTACATCAGCTATTCGTCTGTAAATGGGATGACCACATGTACTTCATTAGGTTCTCAAAGAGTAACATAAGTTAGTGCATATGAAACACTTAGGACAATGTTTTGTACAAGCTAGTTAATATTGCCACAGTATATATAAAAATACAAAAGCAATAAGCAGGTGCTATAAAGGAATTAACACAAATAAATCCCATAGCAGAGCTATCTTAAATTTTGCCACAAACATGACTATATTCAGTTCCTATGATATCAAACATGTATCTCATGTGATTTAAAACTATCAGCCATGGTGGTTTGAACCATTTATTCCTTTATTGAGAGAAAGTGTGACTTCGCTGTGGACAAGACACTTTGCAGATGTCAATGAGATGCTACCTTCGTAGCTAAAAGAATGCTCAAGTCATAGGCAAGCAGGGAGCAGCAGCTGTTATCATTTTTTTCACAATTATTTCACAGGTAGCTATCTACATAGAATTATCATCTATGTGGTAGTGGGGGCATTTGACATTTAAAGACCAAAGTTCTTTCAAGTTTGTTTAAAAGCTACCCTTAATCTTCAAACCTTCTCAGTACATTTGTTCTAGGAGACTCTGGGCCTATGTTTTCTTTCTGTTACACTATTCCCATTTTTTCTGGTTAAAACAGAAATAGCCCTTACTGTCTAATGGATACAGAACAGTCAGTAGTGAGTTTAACAATTTTCACTCTGAAATCAAAGTGGGAGGCACTAATATTTTATGAATGAAAAGGAAGGCGGGTCTGGCTAGGTCAATGTTTTATTCTCCATTCTATGTCTTCTCTAAGGATTTAATCAGTCACCTGAGAGTTATTTATTACCTCAGAAAATGCTTAGTCACTGGTTAAAAAATGAAGCAGTGTGAAGACCTAAGGCAAGAATTCAGGGCCACGTGACAAGAGCCAAGGACAGTGAGTGTTCTTTCACCTTCCTGGGCACTTCTTCAGAGCCAAGGAGGGAAGCCCCAGGGCACCTCCGTGGTTCCCAGTGTTAATGTGTATCAGGGTGGTTGGGCAAGGAGACCAGATCTTGAGTTAGGGCACTGTGCCACCTTTCCTAAGATATGATCAGTGCCACACCCTATCCATGCACCACACTGGCACCTCTTCTTAGTTATTCCTTTCTACAAGGTGCCATACTCACCATGGGCTCTACCAGAGCTGTGTGGAAGTTCTTTCAACCTCAGAACTGTCAGCTAAAATCACTAGGGAGCATATTTACTTATTAGTTATAAAATATATTTAACTCAGATTAATATTTGGGTTATACATTTCTGTCTACTGGCAGAGGATTATATGTGGATGACATAATCTTCTCAAATTTAGACTACATAGATCTGGCACGACAGTCCTTAAACTTCTTTCTAGTTTATGACTTTGAGTCCCTTCATGATTCTTAATCACCTTCATTCAATGACAAAATATTTGTCTTAATCTTGTTGCAAATATTTTCAAATTCAAGAATCTAAGGAGTAACTAATCTGTTTGGATCCTTCTCAAAAATATGTATTTTGGTGAGTAGTTTGCAACTAACAGATAAACGGTTGCTGGTACTGCTCTGGATTTCAAGTGCTCTTGCTAACCTTTTAATTTCTCTGTTGTGGAAAATTATGTAGAATTGATCATGGTGGCACATGCCTGTAATCCCAGTGATTTAGAAGTCTGAGGCAGGAGGACCATAAATTTGAGACCAACCTGGACAACTCAGTGAGACCCTGTCTCAAAATAAGAAAAATACAAAGGGCTAGGGATGTATGGCTCAGTGGTAGAGTGTTCCAGAGACTAATTCTCAGTACAGCAAAAAACAAAACCAGGAAAGACTTGAGATAAGCATTACGTGGTAGGGACAGGACGACATTTTGACTGTGGTGTTTATTTAACAAGCGATGGGAAGTTTTGCTTCTCCAGACACAGCATGTATTCCCACTCCCTCCCTGACAGCTCGGCTGGCTTTTACTCTCAAACCTCGGCTACCTAAGGAAATCATCCATGAATTCAATTTGCTGCCAGGTGATAGGAAATAAGAGTTTTACCAAAAAAAGAGAGCTTGGAAAGAAGAAAACAACATACAAGTGGAGCAAGTTCAGCTCACTGTGGCAAGGAGGCTGGCACCTGGGTTGTTGGCAAGGGAATGTGGCTTGTGTTTCCATCATTGAAGGCTACACTAAAAGAATAAAAGCCTCCTTTATTTCTTCTAAAAACATATTATTTGAAACCAGATCTGTGTGTACTTTGTATGAGGCTGAATCTGACAGTGTAATTATACTTAAGAGTTTAACCTGAGCTGGGATGACATTTGTGGAAGAGCCTGGCAGGCCTGACATGTGACAAGCATGCCATAGAAGTTAAAGTGTGTCCTTTGACCCTAATATGTTTATTTTTCAATGAAAAGACCAAGAATTGTTAATTATTATGATAGTAATTATCATAATCAAAATTTAATTGAACACTTCCTGTTCTTATTGATTCACCTATTATCAACTAACTTATATCATACCACAATCACTTGAGAAAAGTACTACTATCATCCTTACCTTAAAGATGAGAGAATCAAGGCACAAGAGTTGAATCAACTTACTCGAACACCTAGGAAATTGCAGACTTCAAGCCAGACAATCTAGTTTTGAATGCACTGGCTATTCCGAAAGTACTTAGCCCAGTGCCTGGCATAAAGTGAGCACTTATAATTATTATCATTATCATTTCTTTGAATAGGTCTGGACTAAAGGGGTGGTGAGCAATAAGCAAAAGATTCAAGGTCACTTTTCTCACAGGGCATAGAAGTTAGTGGAGGAGATGAGCATTAATTCAAGAATTATATTTATAGTAGAAATGGATACCCTGAAGCAGTGTTTTTTAAATGGTCCTCAAGACTTCTTACTGAAGGACTGCAGCATCTGCTCCCGTCACTACGATTACCTGTTCACCTTAAACTCTGATGCATGGGCAAAGTTTTGGGAACTCTGTTTGCAATCAGGCCATTGCTCTGTCAAGTATCTTTGATGGCTTCCTGTTTTCTAGAGTCATAGCAGTCACTGTGTGTTGTACATACCCATAAACTCATGTCCCTTAATATGGCAGACCTCCTATAAACCATCATGGAAAAATTGTTTAGTTGTGGTTTTAGCAGCTTATGAATAAATTAGGAATTGGCATTCAAATGGAAACCATTTTGTCCTATTGGTCCTAATTTTCTAGAAAAAAAGCATGTTTTGGACTTAGCAGATGTGGGTTTGAAATTCATCATTACTTGCAGTGTGATCCTGGTCATGAGAGCTTCACTCACGTTATGTACAAAAAAGGAATAACAGGAGCTACCCAGTAGGGATTTTGAGCACAGTAGCACAGTGCCTGGTATGTATCACTGAGGAACCTGAAGCTGTTATTATCATCACTATTATCCTAATGTTCATTATTATCATCAGAAAGAAACCTTCGAAAGCCTTCATAGCTTAGCAGTAATTTATATTTCCATAGTTATCTCCCACACTTTAGTAAAGGAGCCCTTTATTCCAACCAGACGCATGTACCGCAACATCTCCCAACATTAGCTGCCAGGTTTTCTTCTTCTCTGTGTATGAAAATCGCCTTATTCCTCCAGGCTGCTTCCAAGTGCCATTTCATTAATGGGCATTTCCTGGTCCCTTTGACCACAGACACATGGCTCTCCATTGCCTCTTATGCTGAATATCTATTTCTGACACGTCACCATACACTCACTGCATGGTGACACTTCCACATGCTGGACAATACAATTTAAGTTTGCATGTGCATTTTGTCTTATTTTCCCATCCAAACTCCCCATTCTTTACAGAGGACAGGACTCCATAATACTTGGCTACACGTTCCTATCAATGAATGAGTGAAATTTAAATAAAACACAAATTTCAATTAATTTATAACTTAATCATTGAAGAAGATAAAATTAAGTTTTAAGTCAATATTATGAAGGAAAATATTTGGCTTTTTCCTTTGAGGTAGAAAATTAGAATATTCTCCCAATTTAGAATATTCTCCCTTTATCAATTGTTCATAGTCAAAAAATTTTAAATATTGATATTTGAGCCTGGGTGGTATATAAGTTCAAGAAGATTCTACCTCTCTAAATGACTAGAAAGGACTTTTGTTCCTTACGTTTTATGTATGTGCACTTAGATTTGTACAGTTTTCTTTAAATAGTTTGCATTTCCCTTTGACCTATGAAACATGACATATACATGCTATGTCAGATTTGAATAACATCAAGATCAACACTCCGTGGATGGTGCTAGCTAGGATGACATTTCACCACTTCTGGCAAACTGGGAAAAATCAGGGCATCTAAAGCAAGGGATGAGCCTGGAGATGGCAGGAGCACTCCGCCTGGGGAGGTGACAGGATTTTCTCTCTGATAGCCTGTTCATGATGATAATGAAAAGCAGAAAAACTTCTGGTGGATTCCATTACTGTTTTAAATTCTCTGTAGAAAACATAACTCTGTTCTGCTGAACCTGCAGCAGGCCACTTCAGTCCTTGTACCTGGGCGTACCCAGCATAAAGTCAGCTGTTGGGGAAAGCTGAATTGGTCCAGTTGAAGAGACAGCCCTTATTCTACAAGTAAATGCTATTGGTGATAATGTCCTTTTAAAACAAAATGATGCTGATGATGGGAGATGATTTTTTTCTAATGTCCTCATTTGGCAAAATTTAAGAGTTGGTCACTATGTCTATCTCCAGTGTGGCTTTGTTACTGTTATTTATTGCTTGGTTTGTTTTGGGAAATGTTCCAGGTCCAGAAATTCCAAATCTGAGCGCCATTGACCAAACTGACAACTTTTCATAGTGTTGAAGTGAGCTGCATCTTTTGGCCAAGGGAGTGGCTTCAGAGTGTTATTCTGTGCCAACAGCAACGGAATTAAATGGGCACTGATCAGAAATGCCAATTCTCAGGCCCTACCTCAGAACTCCCAAATGAATCAGGAGTTCTGCAAAGGGATCCAGCAACCTGTGTTTTACAAAAAGGGGGTTCTGCTGCTACTGAAGTGTGAGAACCATTACTGCCTAGGGCATAGGCAGAGAAGCTGATAATGCTGAGAGAAAACACATGGAGGTTCTGAAATGCCCCTTTAAGGTCACTGTCAGTCCTACGATTCTGTACGTATGTACTTTATATGGATTTGCCATCATTATTTACTAAATAATCTTTCTAAAATGAACCTAAATTTTTTTCTGGCATCTATAATACGTAAGTTTATAGGTGACTATATAAAGTGGAATACTAATACTAAATATAATCTTAAGACCACTAAGCTTCTAAGTTTCCAGACTGGGAAGATAGCTAATCTAAAAATCAGTCTAAGGCTGAGGTACAGCTCAGCAGCAAACTCTTGTCCAGCATGTATGAGGCCCTGGGTTTGATCCCCAGCATTGGAAAAAAAAAAAAAAAAAAACCACAACATGTTACAAAAAGTTAGAGCTGAGATTGTATTCCAGAAAGTGAAAGCCCTATGGACCTATAATTTCCTTTGTGGAATGTGGTTTTAGTCATTAAAACAACTATTTGAATATACAGCTGTATTTTCTTCATGGAAATGTTTACAGACATTTCCATGAAGAAAATAGCTATTGTGACTATTTAGGATAAGTTATTCTAAGCACTGTGTTACTAGAGTCATTACTGAACTTATGCTAAATAATGGGAATATTAGAGCCTGTGTTTACTTCCAGTTAAGCCCTGATAAACTGCTATTTTACCTAGAATGCACCAGAACAAGAATCCATGCATAATTACATATTCAAATTCAGATTTGTTTTGAGAACTATATATGATAGAGTATTTAAAATCCTTTTTAAATTTTTATTTTAAAATCATAAAGTTATATAACCAAGTAACAGAATGTTTAGCAAAGAAAGAGGAACTATCCATGTTTTCATTATTGCATAAAACAATTACTATAATTACTATCTCTTAGAAGCTAGGAAGCTCCATGAAGGCAGGGGCCACTTGTACTCTGCTTATCGCTATGTCCCCAATGTAGTGTTTTTAACTTTTAAATAACATAAATATCTGAGTAAACGATGACTGACCTATTGTTTTAGTGTGCCATTCAAAATTCAAACATACTTGAGTTTTCTACCATGATCCATTCAGCAACTTTGAGAATTTCAATTTCTGTGCATACAAAGTGATGGCTATTCCTGCTGGAGATGACCCTAAAAAGAGGGTCTGGGGAACAGACAAAAGACTGAAAGACAGAAAAGTGAGAGTTCTTGCAGTGAAGCAGAGGAAAGGGGAGAAAATGAAACTCGTGACATGGGTGAGATGAGGACTGTCACTGGAGGGCAGAGGGAAGGCGAGGCAGGGGACTCCTAAATGAAAAGGCGCCATTCCTTCCCTAGCGTGGAGGGCAGAGCAAGTGCCTCCTCGGGAGGACCACATGCCACACAGCAATGGACCCTTGCAGCATCCTGCGAGTACTGCAGGCAGGGCCACTTAGCAAGGCTGCTGGCAAGCAAAGGCATAACTGAACACATTCACTTTGAATTCTGCTTGTTATTTTCAGGGGTGTCAAGGTCATGGAAGTCAAGAAAAAACTGAGAAATTGCTGTAGACTGAAAGAGACGAAAGAAAAAACTAACTGCAGTGTATGATGCTGAGCTGGCTCCGGCTACTGAGGCACCTGATTGAGACAACTGGTGAAGCTGGGATGGACTCTGAGAATTAGGATAGTGATGTACCTGCCCATGTTGACCTCCTAAGTATAAGATGACTGAAAAGGTCTTTTTTTTATGTTAAAAAATATACCCTAAAGTATTCAGAAGTATAGGACATTAGGTTGACAACTGACTCTCAAATGTTCATTTTAAAACATTTATTTTTTTGTATTGTAATTGCAACTTTTCTAGAAGTTTGAAAACTTTTTTAAAAAAAAAAATTTGAATCTTTGAGGGGTGGGTCTGAGCATCAGTATTTGAAAAACTGCCTGAGTGATTCTAATGTGCAACCAAGGTTAGGTACTACTGGTAGAGAGTCGATATTTTCATCATTAGAAAATGTTACATATTTTTCACTGAGTGCAGGAACCATAATTTATTTAATCAAACTCTTTCCTCTTTTCCTCCCCAAATCACTTTTTGAAAAGCAAGAAAGAATCTCCTTACATGTCAGGAAAGAAAGAATCTCTCCCCTATGAGTACTTAGTCCCATGTGGAAATACATGAACAAAGAGACACTGCACAGTAATAACTTAATTACGATCATTTGTTGGGCAGTTATTATTTGTTAGGTACTATGCTATCTGATAAGGCAGGCACTGTCCTTATTTACCTTCATAGGCACAGCAAGATAAGCTACTTGCCCAAGAGGACAGAGCTATTTTGACTCCTGGCAATACTGTTACCGTAGAGAGAAGCAAAGTGCTTTGAAAACACACAAACGGGCCTTCCAAGTGTCATGGAAGGTTTCTCAGAGGAGGGGATACAGGAGCTATCTTTAGACATGTACATTCTTTCCAACTTTAATTACTACAAATATTCATCCATGAACATCTGTGCAGATAGCTTTCCATTTTGAAGTCAGAATGCCATAATCTTCCTTTGGTTAGATTGTAAGAAGTAGAATTGTGGGAAATGCCCCCAAGATTTTAATACCTGTTGCCCCTAAGCTGTCCCAGTAATATGAGTAGATCTATTTTACTGCAGCCTTTCAAGCAGTGGGCAGTATTACTTTAAAAATTCTTTGCTATGAATCATGATTTCTCCAATTACTAGTTAGGTGGACATTTTCTCCATTGATGCTTTCACACCTAAATTTAAGAGCTTTGGCATTACTGCCACAGAGTGCCAGAGCACATAGCCAGTGAGAGAACATTCCAGGATGTCTCATGTTATAAACATGGTGCTGCCCTATAATTACAAAAATGACTTTTGTCACCACCAGCAGCATCAAAAGAAATCAGATTTCTATATTCGTGCTAAGACCTTTGACCTTCCAACTTACTGTGAACTCTATGAGAACAGAGAAATTGTCCCGTTTGATTTAAAATGCTGTCACAATGCCGGCAAGTGAAACAAGTGCTAAAACTCTACTGTACAAATACATATGGGAAATAATGGATGATGGAAAAATATAAACTGAAATCACACTTTCAGCTCTATACATGTGACACAAACACAGCTCAGTAAACATCACATTAGGGCAAGATGAAGTAAGACTCCTTTGTCTTTTCTTGCTGTTTGAACAGGGTGGCAATTCACTCTGCCTGTGACATTCAGTTTTATGCCTCCTGTCCCACAGGAGCTGCCTTTCAAAAGGATCTTGGGTTGGGTGATAAATATTAAGGTCACTCTACCCAAAACGATGCTCCTTTAATGACCAGCAGTGCTAAAGAACCAAGTGCTTCCTGGAAAAGGGAGCTGGTCTTAGCGTCACCCTGAACTACTCTTTAGAGCCCTATAGGCAGATAACTCTTGGACTTTTGGCCTTTAAGTGCTTTCATATTACTTTATTATTTAAAGACAAATAAAGCCAGCAAATCATTATTTCCTAACTAATAGCACATCCCTGGCCCTGTCAGCATTCTCTATTCCATTTTATCGATAACAGGATGAGTCATCCAAGTTGCATCAAGTATGCACCAACCACTCTGGAAAGCAGTAAGAAGATTCCTCAGAAAACTTGGAATGGAACCACCATTTGACCCAGTTTTCCCACTCCTAGGTTTACTCCCAAAGGACTTAAAATCAGCATACTACAGTGACACAGCCACGTCAATGTTTATAGTACTTCAATTCACAATAGCAAAGCTATGAAACTAACCTAGGTATCCTTCAAATAGATGAATTGAAAAAGAAAATGTGGTATACATATACACAAAGGAATATTACCAAGTCATAAAGAAGAAAGAAATTAAGGCATTTGCCAGTATATAGATGGAACTGGATGGAGTCTGTCATACTAAGTGAAATAAGCCAGTCCTCCCAAACCAAAGAATGAATGCTCTCTCTGACATATTGATGCTAACACACAATTGGGTGGGGGCGGAAGAAGTTCATCTGATTAAACAAAGGGGAATGAAGGAAAGGGAAGGGGTATGGGAATAGGAAAAACAATAGAATGAATTGGACATAACTTTCCTATGCTCGTATATGAATACATGATCAATGAAACTCCACATCATGCAAAACCAATAAATTGGGATCCTAATTAGAATAAGTTATACTCCATGGATGTATTAATATGTCAAAATGCAGTCTACTGTCATGTATATCTAAAAAGAACAAATTTTTAGAAAAATACGCAAGTAGGCTGCTAGAGCACCAACTTCCAGTTTTTGATTAATTCTTCAGACTGCACAGTTGATAATTTGCAATGAAATCTTCAATGCAGCGATATTAGATATTAGTCATTTAGTAAATGTCTTTATAATCTGAAGGCAGCAATAATCTATTTTAAATTGTATGAACAAAACCACAGGCATACTTGGGATAACATTTGCAAGGCGTATAAATTTCATGGTTAATAATATTTGGTTTCACTGAGTAATAGTCTCTATTCCAATCTAATGTATAGGCCCTAAACTAACAAAAGGAAAAGAGAATATTTATAAAACAGGTGAATTTAAAATAAACATGTAATCCTTTAGGTAATTAAAAACAAAACTTGTTATATTTTTCTATTTCACAAGTATGTCAAAATTTCATATTGAGGTTCACAGTTTAGATAAGACTTCAGTAGATGACATCTTGGATTATAGCAGAATATCTTGATGAAGCTAATACAACAGAAACAAAACTGGTGGGAATAAATTTAATAGAATAAGTCTGTGTCTTGCATGAAAAAAAGTACGTTTTGCATAAAAAGATACACATATGCATGGAGGTGGATAGACTCATGGAGATGTCTTTTAATTTCATTTAGTTTCTTTTGATACTTAAATTTTTTTCAACTAATAAATTAAAAATTAACTTTTTAAACTTTTTTTTTAAAGTTTCTTTCTTTGTTTTGGTCTAGAAACAACTTTCTTAACCCCAAATCAGATTAATTTTTACATTTCTTTTTTTTAGAATTTTTATCACCATTTCTTAATTTATTCCACTAGATGAGAAACCAAAATATGGGTCTGTTGCTTATTAACTGTTTCATTTGGGTCTGTTTCTTAATCTTTGTGAGTCTAACTTGCGTGTTCCTGAAAAACTAGATCTAACTTTACCAGTCTATTAGAGCTGCCATGACAATTAGTAGCAATAACTCATAAAAAGCACTTTTCATGGTAGGGCCTGGCACATAGAAAGTTACTAAGTGGCAGCTATTACTTTTAATGCTATCACATTGCATACCGCAGTTCTTAATTCCACTGGAATATTTTCATGGCTTAGAATAAAGATACTATTGCCTGCTTTAAAATTATATTTTATAAGATTCAATTATGTTATAGTTTCTTATTAAATTATTTTAAACCATAATATATGGCAATCAGGAAAAAAAACACAACACTTAATTCTTTGAAGCTGGCCCAGTTATATGCACCACACTAGTTTGGACTTCTTTTTTAAGGAGATGACGTCTCATTATGTTGCCCAGACTGGACTGGAGCTGCAGCTCCTGTGCTCAAGCAATCCCCTCGCCTCAGCTGCACACCACTGTGCCCAGCCATGGTTTTGTCTTCTACAGTCTGAAGTTATCAGATGTCCAAGTAACAGTGCGGTGGAAGAATATGAAATGGTTTCTTACATGCCAACTGCTGAGAGTATTTCTGAGTGTGTGATATGATTAAACATAAGGTCTACCTTTCTTTCCCTTACCTCTAACAGGCCATCCTCTGGCAGATCAGTACAGTGAACAGCATTTTGGATCTTAGTCTTACCGAAGATTGCTCTAAGGGTTCCAGGGCGTAAATGCCGGGCAATTTCCTAGTAAATACATACAGATTAAAGTTAGTTATATAGTGTTAACAAGAAAAACACTAAGTTATACAAAACACATGAATGACTTTATTTATGAAATATATGTTATACATTGAAGATGCTGATTTTTCCTGGAAACCACATGGATATATGAAAATTTTAGGCAGTGAAACTTCTCAGTTTACTTATAAGGCTAATTCTGTGGCTCAGGGTAGAGTCCACTATAACTTATGTCAGGGGGCAAACAATAATTATATTTCTTTTTATCAACAGACTATTGGAATCACACAAAATACAAATCCAGTTCATTACTATAAGAATTGTATTTTTAAAGACTTGTATTTTATAAAGATCCTAACAATATGGATAAGCTTAATGCAAGAGCCTTTCAAACTCCACAAAATTTCTGCCATATTCATCCCCTCTACAACCTTGCCTGCTCAGCTCCATCAAGTGCTTGGTTCTTTTAATGCACATAAGGACTAGAAAGTCATCTCAGGTATTCTTGCAGTGGGAAGAATAATTCTGGCTTCAAGAATGACCTCTAAGATCAAATTAATAACTAATTAATTAATTAAAATCAAAAGCACCAAATAGAATGGTGATTAGCAAAATTGAAAACCAAGAGAAGGTTTAATTATCTACAGCTGTGTGTATTTGCGTGTCAGTGTTTACTGAATAATAGGTTTATCTGACTGATAAATTGCTTCCATAATAAGCTATTCTGTTTCAGTTCTTCACAATATAGGAGAGAGATGCAAGAATGAAAATGACCTTTTATTTAAGAAGCAAATTAAATTAAAAAGAGCTCTGTGAAATTGACTAATACTAGAACTATGAAGAAAGACACTTCTGTGATCAAGTGTAGAGTACCTTCACATAACGATTGGTACATGGTGTGTAAATCAGTACATCACTAGACTAATTCCAGGGAGCTTTAAGTACAAGGGAAAGATATATACTACAGGACAATCACAGTAGTAGTGATAGAAATAAGTAGATAAATATGAAGAAGGGCAATCACAGCTTCAGTCCTGGCCACATTAAAATAGCTGAGACAAGACTCTAAAGCCTGTTTTAATCAAGCCTTCATTTCACAGACAACAGGGTAATAAAACAATATCAAAGGCCAATGTGCAGTCGCCACAATTAAAACACCAAGTGTATGTGTTTCCAGCCATTACTGGGACTCTCCGATGACACAAATGTGCAACCCCATACTTACTCATGCAGTTATAGTTCTGTATTCCTGGGAGATAAGCAATAGCAGACTAAGTGACAACTAAAAATAATAATGAAACACAGGGAAGGAATCAGAGAAGGAAAGAAAATGAGGGAAGATTTTCTGCTAAGTCTGAGGGACCTATGCCTCGGATTTAGAAAGAGTAACTGCAAAATTAAACTCAATTATTTATTTACTAGTTTCAAGAATGAACCAGCTGAGAGTTCACAGTAAACTTCCTTTTTGGAGGGGGTTTGGGTACTGAGGATTGAACTCAGGGGCACTCCACCACTGAGCTACATCCCCATATCCCCAACCCTATTTTGTATTTTATTTAGAGACAGGGTCTCACTAAGTTGCGTAGTGCCTCACTTTAGCTGAGGCTGGCTTTGAACTTGTGATCCTCCTGCCTTAGACTCCCGAGATGCTGGAATGAGGCATGTGCTCCCGTACCCAGCCTAAATATATTTGCATTAGATACTGCATGAATTGACTGTATTTGACTATATTTGAGGAATAACATCTGGTTTATGAACTCTCAGGCTTCACATGTAACTTTCTGTTAAGTAGAAATTAGCTAACAGTCACTAGTATGGCAATATGTAAAAACGTGGATGTGTAACTGATGTGATTCTGCAATCTGTACACGGGGTAAAAATGGGAGTTCATAACCCACTTGAATCAAATGTATGAAATATGATATGTCAAGAGCTTTGTAATGTTTTGAACAACCAATAATAATAATAATAATAAAAAGAAATTAGCCGTAATGTAAATCATGTTATTACACAATTTAAAATCTCATATGGCTCACATTTTATTTGTATTGAACAGCACTGCCATCAGTAATGTGGAATATTAGATGGTTTTAGAAATGTTAATCTTAGTCTAGAATCTTGACTCCTCACTGCAATTTTATACGGAATCAGAGAGAACCTGGGACAGTTTAGGAAGTTAATCTTTTGAAGTGATATTGGTGTTTGGTTGGATCTTTGGATATTCTCTTCCATTAGTACTAGATATACTGTTAGTATAACCAGGTTAATCATCTGTAAAAGACAAACATTGTCAGCTGTGTCAGCATATGGGGATTTGTGAGATTTGTATGAAATGATATATCCTTTAAAAAATGCAAGTACAATGTAAGTGCCTTGTGTAAGACAGCAGTTGTTTCTCCCGTCGAGTGTACACTGTTCAGTGTGGCCAGACATTGTTAAAACACGTTAGGGCATTACCTCATTCAATTCAGTCTTGTACACTGAACCTAGGCATTTAAGATAACAAGATCGTTCCACTAACTGCTGAGATTTATGTTTCATTATAGGACAAATATATTTAAATTTTATAAGATATGTGTTCTGTTATATAAATTGGGTAAACCCATATTAACATGAGTTTAATAGCCTATTGCTATTTCTGATGGTACTTCTATCATACTCCTGCTAGGTAAGAGTTTTTGGCTAGAGGACTACTTGGTTATCAGGGAAATTCCTACACCTAATTCATGTATACATGAATGAAACAACCCTCCTCACTCCCTTCAGTGCCAAAGGAAAAGGTACTTTTTACTATATATACCTTTTCTTTTACTATATAACCCTCCCATTTCTTTGCCACTTCCTTTCCTTTTACTATATAACCCTCCCATTTCTTTGCCACTCTAAATCAGGAAACTTCTTCTACTGTAATTTCCTTTCTCCTATATTTTCAACTTCTTCCCAACAGCTTCTTCCTTGCATCCTATATAAGTGAAGATGTGTTTATTGTTATTAAAATAAATCTAATTCTACCCCATCCGCCCTCAATACCTCCTCCTCTTAAACTCCCTCTCTTCATGAATGAAACCACTGTTGAACCAAGTAACCTAGGCCAAAAGTCATCCCAAGACTATCTCTCTCCTGGGGCCCTGCATCCAATCTGTTATCATGTCATGTGGATTCTTTCGTTTGTTTTAGATGTTGATGGACCTTATTTTAGTTATTTATATGTGGTGCTGAGAATCGAACCCAGTGCCTCACACATGCTAGACAAGTGCTCTACCTCTAAGCCAATCCCAGCCTATGTCATGTGAATTCTATTCCTTTAGCACAGCATTCTTTCCTCATTTTCCAAGCCTACCCCTACTGCTACAGTTCACTCTTCCATCTTGCTTAGACTACTTCCTTGTCTGTATCATTAAATATTTATTTCCTTTGTTTGCTTACACATCTGTCTCTCTCTTTTAAATGCCTCAAGGACAGCCATATATAAGTCTTAGTCTTTGTATATCCAATATACTCATGAAAGATTCACTGAATAACAATATGAATGATTTAGTAGATGAGTGAATGAATGAATGAAACAATGAATGAAATTTATGTACTGCATTACTGCATTAATGATATAGCAGAGAAACTAGGCTTTCTGGTTTGGTTAGAAATAGTCTAAGCCCCTTTGGCTATATTATACTCTTCAGAAATGTCTGTTTTAGGCAGTTCTAAAAAGAAGTCTTTTGAAATGTAAGTAATCACCAATTACTTCATCTATTTTGTGAGTTGGTAGTTTGTATAACAGATTTTCTCAAACTAGGGCACACCTGTTTGAGAATGAAATCAAGAACTCTGAGCACTAATCCCATAGCTCTGAAAGTGACTTGCTTTGCGACCTTGATTGAGGATAATATTACTGCTTATATCATAGATATAAAATGCCATGTGGCAAACATGTGAGATGAGAGCAATCCATCAGAGTAGCACTGGACTTACCAGTACATGTTCTGAATTATTTTTCCAGTTGGAATATTAAGATACATCTGAATTGCCTGAAGAACCACTAAATCTTCTGGTGAATATTCATAGTGCAGAAAGGACCAATTCACTCTGAACACAAGAGATCACATTATAGTAGGTGATCTTTCATCTTATTTGTTGGATTTTCCTATTACTATAGCCTAGTCCTAAAATATGTACCCCTCTATAATGTATTAACTTACATTCTTATGTATGCTATTGAGACAAGATCCTCATTTATAAAGGAAAGAATAAAGAATAAAGTCTATTCATGATAGTTGCAATATCAAGCATATTTCCTTGGCATCCTATCTATCTATCCACCTCATTTATTTGTATACAGAATACACTGAATTATTCTATTAATGAGAGTATTAAATACATCAGAGTATCACATTACTTAAAGTTGTTGCCTTCAGGAAGTAAGTAGCTTGTTTTTCTTGCCTAAGTCTTTAATGCAGAAAGACATTTTTCTTTTGGTCATTAATTATAATAACTATTTTTTTGATATTTATTTTTTAGTTGTAGATGAATACAATACCTTTATTTTATTTATTTATTTTTATGTGGTCCTGAGGATTGAACTCAGGGCCTTGCACATGCTAGGCGAGTGCTCTACCGTTGAGCCACAACCCCGGCCCCTATAATAGCCATTTTAAAAAGAAAAAAAAATTTTTCAGGCATTACATTCTAAAGGTAAATTTATGCTCCTCCCACATTCATTCTCTCTTCCTAACAGACAGAATTGTAAACTGTGAGTATGATCTTGAAATATCAAATTCACACTGTTAAAAAAACATTCCATTTCCTCATTGTCTTCTAGATTATCTGATCTTTGCTTCTCCCTGACAAAGCAGTGTTCAGAATGCATTATAAAAATTCTACTTTCGTTATACTACTGGAATGAAACAATCTTTTAAAAAATAAATGATAAGTTTGAACTCCAACTAGTCTCTATAGGTGAGTATTCTGGAAAACCACAGGAAAAGTAATTTCAAAACTGTCGCTTGATAATAATTGGAACAAATCTGGCAAACCACAGTTTTGTTCTTCTGTTAGCACCTCAAGCACAACATGTCCTACATCAAACCAATTACCTTCCCTACCATTCCTCCCTCCCAATTACCCACCAGTTCCATTTTTCTTCTTCGATTCCTAATGGCGTGACTATCATTCAAATGTTCAGGCTAGATAACACAGGACTATTTCCAATGGCTTCATTCAATACCTACACCTAATTGGGAGTACTAGGTCATCACCTAATTTAGCTCATTTGTTAATCTGTCCCTCCATGTATTCAGTAGTTATTTATTGATACTTAAATATATGAGATACTGGTCCTAGAGATAAGGAAATGAAAACTAATAAGATGGTAATTTTATTCAAAGAGGTCACACTCTTACAAGAAGTCAGGTAAACAAATAGCCAGTGTGTATGATGATTGTTTAACAACAAACTGTAAAAATACAACAGTAAGGATTGGATTTGTATTGTTTTCCCGTTTTCCCAGTACAATTACTCCCACCACAGCAGAACATGTAGGGACGTAATACTAACCACTGCGCCCTGCAAGCTGGTGCCACCAGCCGCAACACACTCCCCCAAAGCCCTTGCAGTGCAACCAGAGCTGTCCCAGAGATAGATGCCAAGTGTGCAGGAGCAGCAGGCAGCACCTCCAGGTACCCACCCCGGGTTTCACAGGGTCCTCTTGGTCTGCCAACATCTCTCCCCTCTTCCCAGCTACTGCTTCAGTTCAACAAGATGAGAGGGGAGTCAGACTGATACAGCTTCTCCCTGACTCAAACACTGCTGATGGCTCCCCTTTCCAACATCTAAACAGGCAAAGCATGATAAATAAGGAACTTCTCAATCCTGCCTTTTACTTTTATTTCCTCATGCATTTCTATGCGATTTATGCTTTAAAATTAGAAGTGAAAAAAATCTAATGAACATAAAAGAAAAATGACTTGCACTGAGACCTTTAAATTCTTTTGATACCTGAAATCCTTGTCAAACTCTAGGAGGTGGAGAGGCTTAGTGATACATTTCACCATACTGTGTTCATGTGATTCCTTCCTGCATGTTTTCCCCCTCTTCTCTGATCAGTAAAACTCCAAGCACTCAGAAATGACCTCCATGAAGCACGTCTCCAGCCCCAGCTGCAGTTAACAGCTCTGTGCTACAAGGGGCCTATTAAGTACGGTGGCTTTTGTGGTAACTGCAACTGTTTTGTCAGTTTGTGTGAGAGCATGGATAATATCTGTCTTATTCTCTGCTGTATCTGGAATACTGAGAACATGGCCCAGTATGTGACAGGTGCTCAATTAACATTGGATAAGCATGTAAAAACCTGGGAATCTCTTCTGAGAGCTGATCAATCCACTGGAAACAGGGATGTGCTGTATTTATTTTAGCATCTCTTACAGCATCAGGGCATCTCACACAAGGAGGTTCTTAATATATGATGCCTGCATTGGACTAAATCTTCTCTAGGCATTTCATTTTCTAAAGAAATCAGAAACTACGCATCATGATTTATGAAATATACATATTTCTAAACTATACAAAAGGTTAAAATGTACCAAATACACTGACAAACTGAATTGCAAAAAGGGTAAAGATGAACTCTAGGCAGCACAGGACCATGACCAGAATTTACATGGGGGAATCTCAATAAAATCAGAAGATTTCTCCTGCATGAGGAAAGAACTGTAACCACTTCTCTAACTGCTGCTTTTAGATGGTACTTCACCTGGTAGGGTGAACCTGAGACTCATGCAAATAACAAAACAGTGCCACAGGCTCTAGACACCATGTTGCAGCTCTGTCTGGGCACAAGCTTCCTAGTAACCTACATTATTTTTTATTTATTTAAAAAATTTTGATGCTATATCCTATATAATAAATTAATTCATTTTTAATGCCCAAAGGTACATTTTGTAACAAGTACATGTTGGAAAATACATAAGAAAATAACCTATAGGACACGAGTTCTATAAGTATTTTACTATTTTTGTTTTGCTTTGTTTGAATGTGTGTATTTTATCTTATGGCAGAAATAAACATCTGATCATACCTGTTTCTTTTTCACTTCAGTGAGAGGTCTGTCCTTTCAACTGAATGTTCATACTATACTTGGTCTCCACAAGAAGCACACCTGGAGCTGGGCAGAGTGTTGAATGCCTGTAATCCAGCAACTTGGGAGGATGAGGTAGGAGGATTGCAAGTTCAAAGCCAGCCTTAGCAACTCAGTGAGGCCCTAAGCAACTTTGCCAGATACTGTCTCAAAAGAAAAAATTAAAAGGGCTAG